ATCGAAGTTTAGCGTCGAACCGACAAGTGGAAAGGTCAGTTCTGTTAATAACCGGCATAACTTCGCGGCCGCGCCGCCTTTATCGCGGATACCACTGGTCTGGTGAAAATCGTCCGACCGCGGCACGCGGGTCGTCGAAAGGTCGACAGTGTAGAACTTGAAATTAATTTACACGGGATTACACGAGAAGAAATATCGACTGATCTCTTTCGCAAGGTTGTATCTCGATTTTACGCAATTTCCGGTTTTTTTTCGCTCAAACGCTTATTTTGGTCCCGAATGAGCGTTTAAGAAAAACCAAAAATTGCGTGAAATCGAGATACAACCTTGCGAAAGAGATCAGTCGATACCTTTCGCTCTTCCCGCGGGAGGGCGAGCGTTAAGGGGATGCTGGAGTGCTTCTGCATTTTTTGCACTTTTTGCATCTGGAACTGTCAATACAAGAAAACATTTGTGTACACTGATAAAAAAATATCTTAATTAAAAATATTATTATACTTTATTCAAGAAAATTATTCATTAAGTGATTCCTAATAGCTTTTTGTTCGTATAATATACGACTTGTGTGGCTTTCGTGTACAGACCGACGGTGTTCCACTAATCGGACTAAGTCAGAGAACATCATTGAAATTAAGTTTAGAAACCCAACAAAATTTATTTACTCGAATAACTAACTTGTAACTTGTTCGAGTACACAAAAGCCCCATAATTTGTATATTACGCAAATGCCTTTAAGACTTGATAGTTCTAGGAGCAAAAGGTGCAAAAGGTATAGAATTACTCCAGCATCCCCTTAATGTGAGTCTAATTTAAAATGCAAAAAGCGCAAGAAGGTGCGAAACTAAAACGAACGAGCACGCCCCTCAATTAGTTAGTTGCGGTATTAATAGCGCTTGTAATAGAGACGGGGCTGTTACAAACGCTCTATTATATATATGATAATAATAATCGTTCTTAGGAAAATGAGCGATCGAAGCGATTGCGCGCGGCCTCGCGATTTCTTGCGGAGGATGACTGGAACGATAATGCCGCGGTAGCGAAATAACTCGTCGCGAAAATTGCTGAGCCCGGACCCCCGCTCTCGATCCACTTCCCGTGTTGCCCCGCAGTTAGTTAATATCAATCGCTACGTTGCAATTTTGCGGCGGAGAAATTCAATCGGAATTCCAACCCCCGGAGGAGCACAGAGACGCCGGCCCTGCGGGCTGATCTCCAGCGGAAATACCGTGCTACCGGGAGGATATACCAGTAACGGACGATATGGAAAACTGGCAATCGATTATGTGCTTGCATGCGTTTAACTATTAATCACGCTGTTCCTCCGATCCATGTTGCATTGTTTGCGTAAAAGCTCTCGTCATGTTTAATCAGCAAATCAAGCTGTTAACTTTATTCGCTGAAGAAACTGATGAATTAAATGCACGATAGGTAAATAATTTTTTATCACTTTAATTTATGTGAAAGTGAGTCAACAAGGAGATCAAGTTTATATTTAATTAAAACACTGATTATTTGGCGAGCTGAGAATCGATCAACTGCTCAAAGGAGATTAATAGATTTACACGGAAAGACTGGCTAAGGCAAAACTAACTAAGATTAAAATGTTGTATAAATAGTAGGGGCATCTACATTGTTTTGTGTTGCAACCTTCACTAAGTTTGCTGCACAAAACGCATATAGATGTCTCCAACGCTTATTATACCAATGTGGGTATGACAACCACAGATACAGCTGTCCCAAATATTACTATTTATTAGGGTTGCACCAACCCTAATTAGACATGTGGTAACCATATCGGTCTCTCCGTGTACGATTTTTGTCCAATGACAATGAAATAATGACGATAAATCTACTTGCGGTGGAATTGCACGGCCATGATAAAAATAGTACGAATGTTGAAAAGGTCGTAGCTTTTTACTGTCCAGAAGAAATCGTTGCAAGATATTACGTCAGTACGAGGAAAATCGTTTCGGTCAATATATCATTGCACAAAGCAATTTAATACAATGATTCACACGGGCGATTGCGAATATACTGCCGTCCTAATCTAAAAAGCATCTCGATTTTTTGCTATTGTAGTTAACTCACTTTCTATGTTTCTTAGAGAAATATTCGTTATCCTGCAAGGCTAGAAAGCAGGAAGAGCATTAGATTTACATAAAATAACTTATACACGTTGCAATATGTCTACCTGTTATCAGCAATTCATAAGCTAAACCGCAGTAAGCACTGTCTACAACCCTAAAAAAATTATATCTCCCACTAATATTGGAGTTACTGATTTTTAGTCTGGCAACAAGCGACGAAGTTAACGTTATTATCACAGACATAATATATCTAGACCGTGCATTGAGCTCAAATAAAGGCAAACGCTCGGTCTAGATATATTACGTCTATGGTTATTATACGATAACATAACCTCTCATTCTGTTTCGTAAATGCGCGTTTCCTCGAAACTAGAAGTTTGCGAATACATGCAGAAAATTGAAACGCGATGGACAAACGCTAATGGATAATAAGACGTGCACTTAAAGTCGTGGATGGACGAGAGGCATGAGCGATCGCAAGAAAAGGATGCACGTGTATCCTCCGCCGTATCTCCAAAAAGACAACGAGAAGGATTGCCCGTTACGGACGTGCTTCCGCCGGAAGTGAGACATGGAAGAATGGGAGATAAGTGTTGGCCGCGCAACCAGAGTCTAACGGAGAGCGACGACGAAGGGCAAAAGGACGAGAAGAAGGAGCGAGAGGAAGATGGGGGGGAACAGGAAAAGGAAGAGCGGTGTCGTGACCTTGCGAATCGAGTTCCGCATTGCTGTAGCCGGTTGATTTTTACGGAGCCGCTGGATGCGAGACGTTTTCAAGATCAATAACGAACTAGATGCGGCTTGAATCAGTTTCAGCCGAGCTTGAGAAGACACTTAAATTTTATTCGAATAGAATATCAGTCCCTTTTTCCTATTCGACCGAACCCGGCAAGTTTCTCGGACTCTTTCAATTGTCACTAGTACGCGAAAAATTATAATACTGGGGATGCTGGTTGGTAATGATAAACCTCAGCGAGAAAAATTTGTGTAATGGAAACGAGAGAATAGTGGAAGAAAGCAAAGAGACGGCTCGTGGGGTTTGAGTTCCGGGTTGTTGGTTACTAATGGTTCCATTGTAACTAATTACCCACTTGCGGGAAATTGCTACATTCCCATCCAAATTAGAGGGACCACTGTGTATAACGAAGAAGGACAGAAAAAAATTGTGAGACAAAGGCAGATGAAGGGGTGAATGGAAACAAGTTGGAAGTAAGACACGATTTCATAAAATGTTCCACCGACAGAGTTACTATTTTTCTATGTGTATCTTCTGTAATTGAGATTAATCGGAAGGTAGGACGTAGGACTAAAAGAATAGCACGGGCGCCCTTATATGACCGAACAATTCGCGGCAAAGAACTACGTAAGCGAGTAGTAAGCGAGTAGGTAAGCAAGCAAGTAAGTAGGAGGGACGAGAAAAGAGTGCGTTCGCAAAAGCACACAGTTCGCTCAACGGAAAAGAGTATAAAGGACATAAATAAAAAGATACTAAAAGTATCCATACGTAACAATTATTTTTAAACGAATCTTAAGAAAAACTATTAACGAGCAGCACTGCAGAAATGCAACATCAGTAATCGCCTTGAACGTATCCCATGCTTCTCACATCGGACGATTATCTTCATCGGGCCGCTACCAATGCGCAACATCGGACGGAGCGCCGCTTTTGAATCGTCATTCAAATATCACTCCGCAGCTGGATTTGCTTATACAGAGCAAACCGTGCATAACGGAGAAGTCCGCGCGGCCAAAGGAAAAACGCGTGCGTGTATACCAACTGCGCGAGACGGCAGCGAAGCGAGAAGCTGAATAGCTGGTAGCAACAGCGTCGTTAGCGCAATACGAAGAGATCCGTCTTGACCTTGGCACCGGGTTCCGCATTGCTGGGTCGCCCGGTAGGGCCCCCGAAGATCGCAGAAGGAGGCGAAGTCGTTGCTACTAGCCACCTTGTGGACTCGGGTAACGGCCGACCTTCAACTTGACCGCTCAACTTGCGCGCCCTTCTCCTTCGCTTACGTGCGACCGCTCGCGGAACGCTCGCGTATAATTTTAGAAGCACGCGGGGTCCTTGACACCTCGCCGCGAGACGACGGGCAGCAACCATTGACAACCGCGGACGCTGCCCCTCCCGTGTCTATTGACTCGCGTCACGTTACGTTTGCGATGAAATTTCACGTGAGATCAATTTCTGCTTCGTACGTCACGCTTCCTACCCCTCCTTCCCCCCCCCCTTCCCTCGATCGAACCGTGACTTTTAAAGAAACAATTCTCGATAACAATACAAAGATATTATAATATACCTGCGTCAAGTGGCCATAAATGCTTCCGTATCTGTAATCGTTTCATCTCTACGTCGAATGGAATATGTTTCCAAACTCCAAAGTGTGTCGATTTATCTCAAGAATATTCTGCACCCAGCATTAGGATCATATATTCTTTAAAAAGGAATTAATAGAGGAAAGTCCCCTGTTATGAGATAGGCTCCTAATATGAGATTTTGAGATCATCTTCAGCGACGCTACAAAGTATAGCTGTAACGAATAGAAAGTTTTCAAGTATCGGACTTAGATTGTATTTATATTATTAAATTATTAGCTCCACAGCTCGTTACTCGAGCTTATTTTAGAACAACTTTTAAAATGTTTAGTTATATTTTAGCCTAATCTACAATGTACTAATTGCGTCTAGAAACATTCGCTTTTATATAAGCAGACTTTAAACAATTAGTCGACAACGTACGATTGTACAACGTATAATGTACAACTGTTCAACTTGCACAAAGTTTTTAAACGTATTCATTGGCTACAAAATAGAATGTTTCTAGACATAGAGAGCACATTGTAGATTAGACTTCCAGAAGTGTCTAACTAAAGGCACATCTTTACGTTCAACAAATTCTTGGTCGCATTGCAGATAAATCAGGGAGGATATCTCAATCACGATATCTTGATGAGCACCAAAGAGGAGGAATGGGGCGCCTTGTGCGAGAGGAACGTGATACTGAGAGACCGCTTGATGACGGACGCAGCTCTCGGTGGACCACGGCCGATAAAATCCGAGCACAGTTACAGCCTCTTGGCCCCCAGTCCCCCTCCGAGCCCAGCAACGCCGGGAGACAATCCTCATACGCCCAATTCGGATTCCGGCGCGGTTGGCACCACACCGACTACTAGTTCCTCCATCGATTTCGCCAATCTGGATCACAAGTCCCTCGATATCCGCGATGGTGAGGAAATAACATTATGCGACTGCCTTCGTTCCTTCGAGAGAACGTTATCGTTCACGGGCTCAGTTTCTCTTTCTAATCGTAATTCCTCAAAGGCTGATAAAAATTATCGCTGAAACATCGTTTCAGATATGGAAGAGGAATGTTTTCCGGCTATTTCGATAAGCAGCACTTCGAGCCGTGTCGAATCGTCGTCTTCGTCGTCGGCGCCACTGTCATCGTCCTCTACCTCGAGCGTAATCCTTAAGAGAGACAATCTAGTACCTGAAGACAACGAGTATCCTCAAATCAAGGGCGAGCCTATCAGCGCGCCGGCGAGTCCCTGCGCGCCTTGTCAGCCAAATTGCAATATGGTCGACGATACGAGCACGATAACAATGGTGTCGCAGAGTCTTCAGTTCTCCAAAACCAATCTGTCGCACACGAGTGACAATGAGGAGGACGACGAGGAGTACTATCAGGTATCTCAACTTAAGTCAACATTATGAATCGTTTCTCCAACAACACAACATCCCGAAATTAAATTTTATTGATCAGCGTGTATATGTGCTCTCTATGTCTCTAGAAACATTATATTTTGTTGCCAATGAATACGTTTAAAAAATTCGTGCAAGTTGAATAATTGCACATTATACGTATTTCCACATTATTCATCTCGACTGCTCCGAGATGTGATGCCCGTGAAAAAGAGTATGGGTTTTAATGTGTCAACTTGACGCGAGCCAGTGAGAGTACCAATGAGAATCATTGTGTTTCGAGTTGTCACTTGAACGTACCGATTTCCCTAGTGCCTTATCGTCATTGTCGCTTGCTTCCAGAATATGGAGATTGAGGAGTACGACGTGGCTTGCGAGGGAAAGGAAGCGACCTTGCACGCGTCGAGACAGGGATTGCCGCCGACGCCGCCCAGCAGCGTAAACTCCGACAGCGAGGGTACCGCTTCCGCTTCCTGCTCGCCGGAACGCCGAGATTCTCAGACTTGTACGCAGAATCTCAGGGGCTTACTGGCACCGAGGCTCTATGTCACCAACGGCACTCACGCCACCAGACAACCCATTCATACGCCTCTGATTTCCTGTCAGCCGGTAAGGCACAGTCTGAAGAGTTTGACGCCGGTGATTCTGATGAGTTTATCATTGGGCCGCTTATTAATAGGCGTGACCCACATTAAATCGTGAACAAACGATATAAGCCTAAGAAGGAGAGACTAGAATCTGGAAGAAATCGACATCAAGTTATGTAAATGAAGGCGCAAAAAAGTTTATTACTTTTTTGCTGTCAACGTAGACGCATTTTACACGAGAGATGAAATCGACGCAATAATTTATAATAAATCATTCAATTCTTATCTTTCTCTCCCGTATACGTGTCTACGACTGTCTTAGTCTTGCTTGTTAACTTTTTAAATAACTTCGAGGACGGCTTTATTAACATTTTCGTTCCATATTCTAAGTTATGATGCACACCCCACGTTTCCAATCCTACACACCTACCACGTTTACATTTTCAATATACACATAATCTCATTCGGTTAGTCAGCGGGGTAGCTGAGTTTGCTTTAACAAACTTGAAGTTTCTTTTATGGATGAATTTCACATGAATGATGCTTTACGTTCTATTGCTGCCCTCATTTATTCTTGTCTGTGTAGGACGGTGATCCATTATTGCTGTCACATTTATTGATCCAGTATATTCTAGCGTGATGCACTTACATGCGATTGACATTACAGAAAGGATCTACAGTGTTAGTATTGACGGAGGAAGAGAAGAAAATCCTGAGAGACGAAGGATTTACCGTACCCACGAAGCTTCCTCTGACGAAACAAGAGGAGAAGTCTCTGAAGAAAATACGAAGAAAAATCAAGAACAAGGTACGTACAACAGTATTGTGGATTCACAAATTCCTCGGGTGTTATTCGACCTACGAAAGCCATGCCTTACGAACGTGAAAGTAATTTTGCGTGGTATTTTTTGTAGATATCGGCACAGGAATCACGAAGAAAGAAGAAGGAATACATGGACAATTTGGAGAGGCGAGTCACTATGTTGTTGAACGACAATTCATCGTACAAAGAGAGGGTAAATTCCCTAGAAGACAAAAATCGAAAGTTAGTAAAGGAGTTGCAACGTCTTCAGGCCTTACTGCAGCTACAACAATCTTAGATATATTGATTTTTATCTAGAATAGCTCAAATTTATTTGAAATCGGCGAATTTTTACTTTTGAAAAGACTCGCGAGCATTGCTCTCCAGAAAATAAAATTTTTGACCTGATGAACATTGCAGCGTTCGCAATAATATCAATAAACCCGGCTAAATAATTTAACATTATTACGAAGATTGAAAATTATAAAATCTTGAAAAGGGTTTTAAAGTTTCCAATCTTTTATGAATGCTAACATAGATTTATCTTCCACGTAAACTTTAATCCTTATAATTGTTACGAGATGATATAAATAGCATGTTTTTATTGCTAAGTCACAGACCAGAGTTTATAAAAGAGATCTATTTTTTAGGGATTAGTGCAATTTCTTTACATTCCTAGAATGTCTTCCTCGCATACAAGACGCAACGAAGTAACTTGCAGCATAATCGCGATTGAGGATGTGTGAAAGGCATCCCGAATGCTGCAGACTACTTCAATTCTTTCGATAACTGAAGATTTTTTTAGCCAATATGCTATTTACATTATTATGTTCTTTGCGAAATCAACATGTTTTCGCCAGGAGTGCCTTGAAGGGTTAATTTCCATATTTCTTCCAGCATCAATGACCGAAGGATATGCATAATTTGCTAATATATTTCTCGCAATTAGGCACATTAAGCGTGAGTTTTTTCATTTAATAAACGAAAATATTTTGGAAGTATAGGACTCGGATTGTCTATCCGCGAACATTCGCGTGTTGCGAAAAGCGGTTATTGGCTATTGCCAAATTCGATGCAACGAGGAATTTCAAAAAGACGCACAGGTATAACCGGCCTTTTGATTATTCCATATTTGCGTCTCGAAAGCGGTTTTAAACCGTTTGGGATCCAAAGAAGTAGTCTCGGGATCCATACTAGCGCTTGTATCGTGGTACATAATCCATTTTGACGCAGTTCTGTGAATGGATTTGCCTGTATACAAGACAAAATATAATATACGACATATTTTATAGGTAAGAGAGAAGAACGAAAGTATGACTATTCTTATGTAAGAAGGTGTGACGCGAAAGTAGATTCAATGCAATCGACGAAGTTATTGTATTTACGCTTTACGAGAACATTTATTTGTATATGCAATAAGATTATCATGCAGATCGATCAGGAAGAAACAATCCCGTCAAATCGATGGTGTGTTATTCTTTTTAGAGCTATGTCACTGGCGCTAAAACGAGCGTTGGGGCAAGTCTCTAAGATTCTCGATCACAACGATGATAATTTATTTCGCGTTAGTTGAAAACGCATGGTAGAAACATTTGTAAAATATAAGTACATGAGTGTAGAATATATTTTGCTCGTCTACGAAAAATCATCTAAAATCCGCTGTTGCGTTTGCGAGCCAATGGAAGTTACCTGTTTGAGCAGCGCGAGTTCTCTGGCCTCATTATAGATAGATAGATTCGCGCTCGAGAAAATTGTACAGGACATCGGTTTCCTGTGGCCTTTTCAAACGTGAAGCCGCATTATTTGCGGTGTAAGGAGAATTTCGATCGATATCAAACATTATTAGTGTATCGCGTACCAAACATTCTGACTTTTAATTGTTTTCTTCGTAGCTTTGTTTCATGATTAGCGTAGATTAGAATTCGCGCAACAAGTCATTTATTATCGCACGATAATGGCAGACCTCTCGGCTACTTACCGCATGAAAATCGTGGAAAGGGACCAATGCGTGCAAGATAAGAAGACTTTTTCTTCTTCTTCTTCTTCTTCCTCCTCCCCCGTTTTTTCTGCTTCACACAATTGCCAAATAAATATGTAGTAGGATTTAATGTCGTGTCGTGAGTCCAGGAAATAGTACACACGTATTAAATAGTCACACATCCCTTACATGAGTGTCTACAGATCGAATCGCGGCTATCATTGCGTCGCGATATCTTCTAAATATATATTTTCATCAGCCGACATGATCTTTTTATCGTATGAGCTAAAATAAAGTGTAGAATACATTCGTAGTGTACAGATAACGTATATAGCATGGCCATAAGGAATCTTCATTTATCTATCCTTCGAATTCACACGCATGTCATACTTAATTAATAAAAATAAATTATTATATACTTTCACAGCCAGAGCTTAAAATCGACCTCAGATTCATCAAAGAAAGCACCCTCATTTCTCTTTTCCTAAGTCATGCTGTATACACAGAGACGCGTAAACTCTTGCGAAAAGATTGAATTTCACGATAATTTTAGGTTGATAATTTTTGGAGTTTTTAGAGGAATTATATACCTGCTGAACATGTGTCGTTGGAAAAAAGTCAATGAAGAAGTCAATAAACAAACGATAGGAATCGATTGCACATAAATGTGAATGTGAAGGCGCTTTCGACGTATTTCGCGGACTTATAAGAGGCCGATCGGCTAAGAATTCTTTTTGTCTGTGAATTGTGCAAAAACATTCGTGAGCGCGCACGCACCACACACACACACACACCTGCGCGCGCGCGCGTGTGGTTTTTCATTACCACATGCGTATACGTGCATGATAAAGAAATAATTACATGTCTGTACAAAGCGGAAGAGTAACGATTTTTATCGAAAGCAGAGAATTTAATATATTCTATGAGAATAAAGCTTTATAATTAATTAATTATATATACATATATTAACATTATACATATATATAGATGATTATATTTTACGACAAATTATCCTAACGTTCGACAGTAAAGCCAGTCGTATAAAGAGTTATCTGATATACAAATTTATCACTATTACCATTCTTGTTATCATGATGTATCATTTATGTCCCATACGTGATGCGAGAGCACGCATCTGTATATCATATACTTGGCGTATATATTTATCCAGAGAAAGAGAGTCCGTATATAAATATATAAATATATATAAATAAATAATTATATATATTTAGTTATTTATAAAACAGAAGATAACATAAATACAAATATATATTCCATTCGACGCACGTCGAATTTATGTGTGCATGTATGTGTCTATGTAAATGCGCGAGTGCCGCGTCGTTAATGTACGTCGTCAGCCACGCGGTCCTGCAACTACGAATGGATGTTGTGCGACAATAAGAAATAAATATTTGTGAACCAGCACCGTACGTTTCGTCTGATTTACATGCTCGTATTACATTACACCCTGCGCAATCGAAATTATTTCTCCACTACAAAAATCGACATTTTTATTCTGTTCACGAAAGACTTGGTCGCGTTGACAACAAAACCATCTCTCATTTAAAATCCTAAAATTTTATACAACGGTTAGGTAATAACAAGAAAAATTTACAAACTTCCGAGGATTACTTCACCATGTCTGGCAAATTTTTATGTTTAAATGACGGAATTACTGACACAACTATCACTTGAAAAGGACCACAAACCATGGTCGAAACGTTGTGAGTTTAAACATAAAAATTTGCCGGACATGGTCAAGTAGTGTACTTCTGGCGACTTGTAAGATATCCTCCAGTCAAGAAAAATTTAATTATTATGTAACGCATTTCCACAAGTAGAATCGTAAGATTCGAATGGGCGTAATATAACGAATTGAATTGAATAATGACAAAGTAAATTCTTATATTTCTCTCATTCCTCGGTATCCATCTCCTCATTTTCCAGTTGATCTTCTATCTTGCCCTTTAAAGTAGTAAGGCTGAGAGGTGCATCTATATCGAGAATCTTACGTTCCTCCGCCTTGTCCTCCCTCTTGGACCTGTATAGGGGATTTTCGAATCTACCACCCGCGACTTGCTTCAGCCCCTCGGCGTCGTTGTCAGCCCCTCGTCCGCTCGTTCCGGGAACGTCGGCAATCTGAACGTTGCCCTCGGGAACGTTCTCGAAACGGGCGAAACCGTGCTTCTGCTTGTCCGTCCGAATTCCATCTCGGACGGATGAGACGGCTTCCATACATCCCGAGAGAACACTGCAAAAATTACATTCCGTCTAAGGAAGATCGACAGACATCCAATATGCCATGCAAATACTTCCAGTGCATCTGAGATAAGTAACACTTTATCTCTGATACGCCGTGAAAGCCAAAAGATAAAGCAGGACAGAAGGAAATCTGTAAAAATGAAGCGAACGATGGGGCCAAATTCAATAATTGCAATGTCGTGCATCACGTTACGAGAACAGACGTGTTACGTAAGTAAAAAAAACCCCCTCATTGTTAATCGTTATAGTGCAGGTGGAGCGAGAGTCTTGGTCCAAGAAATTTCGGCCTCAAAGCAGAACGTGTTCGGCGAGCTGAGAAAATTACGCGGCGGCCAATTCCAGTCTCGGTTTGAAGCCTGTTGAGGCAATAACAAGCCTACCAGTCGGCCCGCCGAGGGAGGTGAACTAATTAAATGTTGGACGAAAGGGCGAGACGCGCAAAGCAGTGCCCGACTCGAAACGGAGTCGCGGAACGGCGAAGAAATTAGCGTCGGGAAATGTAAAACCGTAAAATTGAAGAACGGAGGTGGATTTGCAGGTTACAAAACTATTGTTACCTTGTGCGCCACTTTGCAAAATAAAATACCCTGTTTTCACGCGCCTTTCCAACTACATCCCTCGCCTTCCTCCGTCAAGCTCGCGATCCATAAAAAGGATTTAGTCAAACAAATGAGATACGTTAAAATAATGTTTTTTGCATCTACTAATTTTTTATTTACTTCTACTAAAACACTTGCTAGATTTGAAGAAATAAATATGAATTCTCTTAGAAATTCCAATCTCGATCAAATAAAATTTTGATTAAAGTAAAGAAATAATGTCTTTGAAATAAAATAAAAGTCTAATAAGATAAAAATTCAAGCAAAGTTTGATTTCAAACAAATTTTTTCTGGGTGCATATCCTCTCGCCTTTCTTTTCTCTCTCTCTTTCTCTCGTTTTTTCGTCGTATCGGGTGCATAGATACCTGGGAAATGAGAATCTCGGAGAGTTCGACATTTTCCATTTCCCCACGAATTTAATAGCCGTGACTGAATTTGGTCCGACAAATTTGCAACTGGTCTGATGAATTGCAAGCAATCTTGCTGTCTTGGTCGCCCTCCCGTTTCACCCTTGGAAGCATCGCTCTTATATTGCGTGAACCCAGCTTCAAGCTTGCCAGAACTAAATGATTATCCTCTCTTCTTGTTGAAGCTTACGAAAAGAATGGACTTTATAAAAAATTCATTATCGCGTGCGACATCGTCTTTAATCAATTTATGCTTGCGTGTACGACATAGAATCATAGACATGGATATCAGATAACGATGCACAAATTTAAGCATTGTGCTATTCACAAACCTGGAAAATATCAATTATACTTATAGCGTTTGTGTTTATTTGTATTTATCGGACTTTTATAGCCTACGCTAGCATCAGAAGACAGGAGCGGTGATGAAGTGACTACGATCACCCTTGATGTACTTTCCCACAATCTACTTTCGTCTGCAGATAAATAAACTGCTAATGAAATGCTTGAGCGCAAAAATATCGGCAAGATTTTTTTTTTGCACACTCGGCTCTCGAGCACCCTCGAAAGGAACCAATATCGCGCTCTCCGGGCGTCGTCGGATAACCGGAAATAGAGCGAGGACACGAGCGGGCGTATCTGCTATACGTGTATGCACGTATATATAGGCTGGTAATCCGTGTAATTGCTTTTCCCACTCTCTTTACGAATGTGCAAAAACTATTGACGACAGGAAGACCCGCCAGATCCGAGGGAGGCTGCGGATCATCGATCGAGCTGGACTTGCTCAGGAGTTTTCCGCGTGACCGTGCATCACCGCCGATCGTTCGACGAAAGTACACACGGCGTGTCCTCGGTACCATGCGATACGAAACATTATTTTCCTTATTCATTTTCTTGTCACGTTTCCATCGGCACCATTATTATTACTCCCGTGACCATAGTGTTTGCACGAATGTCGAAGGTAGGTGCGCCGCGCGCGAACGTCGCGGGTCATCGCGAGAAGTTTCCCTTTTCGATTCCGTTGATTTTAATAACAATATTGACGCAGCCGGTAATATAAATGAACGCCCTCCTAGCCGATCTTGCAATACTTCCTGTCGGACAAGCGCGAAAATACTTAGTCCCCCTGAAAACCTTCGTCTGCAGGTTTGCGGGGAGGGGGACCCCTAATTTTATTGGAGTCTACGAAACGATTGACGCTAAGGCTGGTGATTTCCTTCGAAGGCTTCGACATTCGAATTTTCGAGGCTTCGAAGTTGACTTCGCAATTTTTAAAATCCTCGAAGCTTCGAAAAATTTATTCGTGCGAGTGGCGAATTTATTCGAAGAACATTAAAAATATTGCAAATAAAAAGTATTAATTTATATATGTTAAAAAATAGATAATTACTTCTGAATTATAATTTTGAAGTATTATAACAAAAATTATGTCACTTCGAAGACTTCAAACTTTCGAAATCTTCGAAGCTTTGAACACGGAAAAAAACATTTAGCTGCTGTAGCTAAAACTTAGTAAAATATGGACAGCGAATATTTTTAGTTGTGATAGCTCAATATTTTGCTACGACAGCAAACCGTTTGCTGTCGCACCTAATACAATAGGCACATGTGTTTTTTTCCGTGAAGTTATCAAAAGTAACTGCCCTAATTGACACTATTCGCTCGCGTATTACGAGCAGGTCGAGAATGCCGAGCACGGTGCAAGAGTTTCGTTCGAGCGGGATGCTGGGTATGCTAATCTCGAGCACAAATGCCGGCGCCGAATACTGGCTCTCACGAGCATCCGCAGCCGAGTGTGTCGCCGGCGTCGATAACCGACGCGTAAAACCTATTAATATTAAATTTAGTGCGGACGACAGCTTGTGCAATCGGATCGATGCTATTTTTTCTAGCGACTCGTAATGTAGCGGCGCGAAAAGGGGGAGATGATACTTACTGCTCCAAAGAATAACCGAAGTACAGGAAGACCAGTAGAAGAAGGGCGATCGCCACGAGGGGTGTCCCGAAGAGCGGTCCAAGTGTAACGGCCAGTCGAGAATCCTTCATTGCTGCACCCGCCGTTTCCGCGTTCGTAACATCGATTCCTGTGCCTAATAGAAAAATATATAAATTAGTATGGCTCGTATGTGTTAAACACAAAACAGAAAAATATATATTATATATGTGTGTGTGTGTGTATAAAATAACGTGTATAATAATGATACGATGTGTACCTACAACTAAACTTTTTACAACAAATAAATTATATTTCAATAAACGAATGAATGAAAGCGGGATATTGCTTGACAATGTCCAATGCGTTCCAATTATAAAACTGGATTAAAAATCGAGTGTCGACATTTGTAAGGCGTCAATGCTTGATCGATATCGGTATTGCAAACAATGAGAACGGGACAAATGCAAGGATTTCATCGTTTTTTCACGTATCTCCGTTTTATTTGTACGCCCGTAAACTGCACGAGATTACTTGCGCGACGAAATTGCTTTTTAAATTATTGGAAAATCGTAGTCGTCTAACTTTCGTTTCGAACGTAATCGAATCAATTTCTCAGTTTTATAATCTTATTTGAAAAATTTATCGGGGATTTAAAAGAGCTGTAATGACTTCGCAACATTTCCCGCAGGTTCTCCACCGCCTCCTCTACCGTGATCCCGGAATAGTCCCCTTTTTCCTTGATGAGAACCTCGACGCCTCCCTTCCAGGTGCGTCTGGCGTGCCAGGCAATCTTTTCCGTATATCCTTCTAGAGCTTCGTCCGCTACGGTTTGCACTGTCGCTAAAGAAATTTCCATAGGTATGGAAACGCGCCCGCCACAGTATGAACAACAGTGACCTTCTACCTGAAGCACAAAATGAATTATATGTACGTGTCAGTCAAATAATAATGTCAGGCCCTGTTTTACGACAGGGTCGTGCTTCCAGCAAAATAGGATCGTAAAATGAAAACTCGTAAAACAAGACCAATTTATAATGTACAATTAAATGAGATAGATCCTAAAATTACCAAAGCGACAGTAGATAAGTTAAATTAGTAATTCAAGCCTGTTATTAAATTAAGAGTTTGTTATTAAAGTAAATACAGAAGAGGATATTCGAGAAAAATATAATTAATTTTAAATGGGGTTTAATATCATTTCAATTGCATAAAACTCAACAAAGTTACGATGTTTATCGCTAATAAATAAGGTAGCTGATAAATAAGCTAATCTTCCCCAAGTATGTACCAATACTGACGTTTTCTTAAAAACGATAAGTCACTTTGAACATTTAAACACATGTTTCATTTATACTTAAGAACTATTTGGATAATTTTGAAAAGCTCGCCAGTGCGAAAAATCGTAGAGTGAACCGTCGTAAAACGGGACTTGTGCGTAATAAATTTTACAATTAAGTTAATGAAGGCTCTGTGTAAAATCTTAACTCACTAATAAGTTTTAATTAATTTCAGATTAGTTTCAAATAAAGTATCCAACCGTAAGAGGGTACTCGCAGTCCGTAAATCCACACCTCGGCCTCTGAATGGCACAGATCTCTTCGAGATAATCGCTCTGATAGTCTCCCTGGCAGAAACATTTCGCACAGTCGTGCGTAGCCAGGTACAGCTCGCTGTACCTAAAAAATAAAGAATAATTTTTCACAAAATTCACTTGCGGAAGCGCAGCGAACGTTTCTCATTCGAGCTCACTTTACGGTGAATCTGCCTCTGGAGAATTCTCTACGGTCTTGAAAGGTTTGCCATTCCCACGCGGTAAACGGTTGCCTCTCGTTCGACAGTCGAATCGACTTCACCTCTACTTGCCTCACAGGTAGGAGGATACTCAGGGTGCGACTCTCGCTCGGTAGGACAACGTTGTCCTGGCGGCAGGGAACGCGCTCGAGATGCGGCGTCGCTATTGTACTGCCATTCCAATTTGCGGGATCGGCCCAGAAAACACCACCCTCTTTCGACCATCTGCTTACTTTCGCGTCCGCCCGCGAATTGCTTAGCTTGCGCACACATACAGAATCTTTATTGTTAAATTGAATTCATTATTAGCAAGACGATAGATGTTAAATTATCGATTCGAGCTCGTTATTAAATTAAGAGCTTCCTGCGTTTACTTTGATTATTATTCAATTATTATCAGAGTAAATGCAGAATGGAAAATGCGGAAAAAATATCATTAAATTGTTAATAGAGTTTAATATCGGTGGAGCTGCATAAATTTCCGCGTTTCACGATGTTTATCGCTAATAAATATTCTGATAAGCTAGCTTTCCAATCAGTCAGAACGCAAACGAGACATGTCAACATTGAAACATTAATGTCGTAATTATCACGAGACTGTATCACCGTAGCGACTACGATATTTTGTAAATGTGTAGTATCTTCCGTCCGCGATTAACGTTAAATTTAAAAGGGTAAAAGACCGATCGAACGCATTATTCTGATCCCTCCGTGCCCAATTTATTCCATCGACCGTCCGTAGATTTTCTCACAAATCTATAGCTCGATCTCACCTGCAGTTTACCGTTTCTAGGCAGAATCAACAATCCCTGCCTCGGTAAATCGATTTCGGATAACCGAAGATTATCGGCTCCGGTGATGCCCACCGCGTGCCGGGTCTGCTGAGGAAAGATCACACGACTGTCGATCTCCGGTACACGGCCGTCCGCCCAGTTGCTCGCGGTCTGCCACTCCAGATCCGGAAGCCAGTGCTTCTCGAAAACGGCCGAACATCTCGATAGCAAGATAACGCACAGCACGATTTCGCGACGCGGCACAGAAGGAGCGAGCATGTCTCTATATCAACGTACACGAGGAGAGAATTTCTTCTTCAAATTTACCCTGAAAATCGTGCAATCGTGGGCGTTCCGAGGAATTGTGTGCGATTTTTTAATTTTACTAGTAGAATGTGAGATGAAATTTGAAAAAACTTATAAAGGTCTTCGAAATGCCACGTTGTCCCGCGATTTTCAGGGTAAATTTTAAGAAAAAATCTCTCCGCGTAGATATAAATACGGATACGCTACTTCTCGATCAATTTTCACTTGTGCGAGGGCGAGGAGATGTGAAACGATACGGCGAATGTAGACATTCGGTATCCAATTTTTGCAGCAAATTTGTAAACTCCAAAAGTAACGCGAGGAAGAGGAGTTGAACACGGTTGGGAATTTCGATAACTGAAAGCTACTCCGCGCGCCTGTAATCGAAGTCGACCGGGGGCGTGCCTGATTCGTGAGAGTCTGGCGTGGACTTGCGTTATTTGTCGCGATTAGATCGCCGTGGGTCTCATGATTTTATTGTGCTGGTTTACATTTTAAAAAACGAACGTCTCAATGAGCAGGCATGCAATATGCAGTAATTTAAAACTTTTTCTCTTCAGGCATTATATAAGTTTTCTTAAATAAAATAACTTTCAGTGGAAAAATATTTTTAACTCTGTTATTTAAAAAGATAACTGAATATACATACATTTAAACTGACACATTGTTTAACGACTATCATTATTAATTGAAAAGCTCATAAATATCATAAATATTTAAACATACGTAAGCAAAACGAATCATATTTTGCAAATATGAAAAGTGAATTTCAAATATTTCCAATTCTTTATTAACAATTATTCGTTCTAAGCGTGGAAACTAAACATTCGCAATTCATATTCAATATATCAATTATATTTGCATTCATTTATTTATTATTATAATGGTGTGCTTAATAGAATAAATCTACATTGCTATATCACGCGTGAAAATATCAACAACATATATTTGTTAACAAAATTTTCATTAAATCGGCATAATTAAATGAAATGGTTAATTAAAATTCACGTATGCCACGTATACATACAATATATATGACGAAAAGAAGATTACAAGATTTATTGACATTGAGAACATTGGTACAATTATGCGTTATAGCTTCATTCTTCCTACAACGATTAGAAATATAATCGTCGGGCAATAAAGACAAGTACAGTACTGCCGCGGTTATAGGTGGTTATAACTTTTTAGCACATCGAGATATTGTTCCTATCTATCGTACAGTAAATTGCGTTTAATTGCTTGCTCAATTACAATACAATTCATTGCAATACAAAAATGCAATTAACTTAATGATTCCCCTATCGCTTTCATCGGTGGTATTACTATATTCTATGATTGTGAGATGTTAAAAACTTATAAGGGTAAAGTAATTTTACCTCGATATCGATATAAGCGCTAAGTACTGAAACATATAAATGTTACGCGAGTAAAATCATAAGATAAAAGAAGTTGCTTCTTTTCTCTGTTTGTGTTCGGTTTCCGTCTTACAAACACAAAAGAAATTCCAATTAATTAAGGAGCATTGTGAAAGCATGAGAAAACTAATACAATCGGACAGTTGTACCTAAAAGAAAATGTATTTAGAGAATTTTTCCACGTCAAATATATATCTTTCCGTTAAGGTACCTGCGTCGTTTTGTAAACATTTACAAGTGGAGAGGGAGCTGTCGATGGCGCACGAATATTATAGTAAGTTTCAGACAAAAAGAAATCTCAACATTTCATTATAGCTCTTAACTTCCGTGGACAATTCGTTCTGCTCTCGACACGCAATAAAACCGTACAACGTGGTATTGACATAGACACTCAAGGAAGTTGCACTATATGTGATTTTAATGAATTTAATCTCGATAACTTCGAGTTGGTTATTTATCAGAAAAATAGAAACATTTATTATTTCATTCATTATTTTATCCGTAAATCTTAATTAGTAAGTGTGTCAATTAATTATTAATATTTGTACAACACAGAGTGTCGACACGTTAACTGCATACGCAAATTTATATTGTTAAAATCTGACACGCGTCCGCACTTCGAAATAAATTAATAGATTATAGAACAAGGTTGAAAAAAAACACATGCAGCTCTTTAAGTATTTGCCACTGTTATTGCATTTTGCCGAATGTCTTCTAAAATGAATAAGTCAGATATTTCTTCCGGAATCGTCCAAGTGTCAAAGCGAATGAGAAAGACAATAATTCGTGCTCCTCGACGAGAACGCTCTACTGAATCAAATCCTCGTCCTCATCCAGTTCTTTGCCCAGACCGAGCAAATATTTCGGGACTGCGGCATCGTTCAGTCTTCTTCCGGGTACAGCTGCTTCTCCGGTCGCCAACTTCCAGAGCCGTTTCCCGATTCCAAAACCAAAATGTTGACCGCTACCACGTTTGTCTTCCATAAAGTCGTTCGACAAGTTGTCCTCGCGAGATTGATATCCCTCCACGCTGTCGGTCGGGAAGTAGTCCAAACTCAAGGTACGGTATCCATTGTTGCGTTTACCTATACCGAACCTGTAGTCCCGGAGACGTTTGCCGATACCGAACGAGAATTGCCGGGTTCTCTGCGCATCAAGTTTCAACACGTAAAGGCACAATTAATTGAGAAATTAATGTTCACCTTATTCAAACTAGATCGATTCTTTTATGCTATACGTGCCAACATTTTTTTTTCTAGTATTGTAACGCACAAACACAACTAATGTAATAAAAGTTCGTTTTTGATATTCGATCCTTTCGCAGTGTACATGAATACTAGGTTTGGCTTCCGGGTTATCTGATACTATCGGGTTCTTCCTCCCCGATGAAATGAACTGAAATGCCCGCGGAACGTCAGAATAAAATGCGGTTTTGCGCGGCTCCAGTCCGGCAGCCAAACCTAGCATAAAAGTTTGCGTTTCCAAATTACAAAACTCCATATGAATTTTTTATGTAATTATTAGGGTACTCATTAAATCCGTGATATTTCGGGCATGAGGTCCCTTTTTATGAGGGAAATCACATACCTTTGTATAACAAAGAAATTGTTCTGTAAAAAAAGACCGAATGCTTTGTTTCGTCTGGAACTTACTTTATCTTCATTATTGTCAATCCATCGCTTTCCGATGCCGAAGTTATAAAGGGGTAGTCTCTTGTATTCGGCAATGTAAGCCTTTTTCTCGGGTTCCTCGAATTCTAAGCTGTTCAATAACGGATGCAATCGTGGAATATGTAAAGACGCGGAAGATGCCTCTTCTATTGCCGCTGTTGATCGTCCTACGGCGCTCAACAGGTAGAGCATAATAATTCGCATAGTGATTAAACCCGTTCTTGACTTCATGATGCCTGTTTGAGTCTGAAAACACAAAGACCACGCGGGATTGTAATCTATAACGGACTGTCGGGCCGCAGGGACAGGATTTCATCCTACTAATGATATCATATAAACTTTCGCGCAGTAGCCCGAGATTGAGTTTTCAAATTCATACGTGTAAATTTCGCACCCTTGTCAAAATTGCTAGAATAAATTAGTTTAACTTCTATTTTGATTACATTTATTCTGCAATTTCTCTATCTACAATAATATGGTCTTTAAAATATTTGAGATATGCGCGACATTCATTTTTAAATGCAATATTACACGCGTGTGTGTGTGTGCATTTGTAACTTACAGTTAAAAAAAGGAAAATTGTTGATGAATATAGAGGAAAGTCCCCTATTATGAGATGAGTTTCCTCTAGTTATCAGATAGCGTCTAGGTCTGTAAGTCGCGCGAGTTTTCTAATACAATTATTTTTACTTTAGCAAAGAGAGCATGCAGATAGCATTGTATTTTTGACCTGAGACTAGCGATCGAAATGATTTGTGAAACCGGAGATCGAGTGATTGTTAAAAGTATAGAAATCCATGGGTAATTAAACTAATTTTAGTAATTAAGAGAAACGAATTAACTAACTGAATAAATTCATGGAGATTAAAGGACAATATTTCTTGCAATAATGTGACGGGCATTTTTATTTGTAACGATAAGTGTTCTTGCAACACTCTCAGAAATCTCGTATCTATTTTGGAATTTCACTAGAACATAAAAGCGCGTTAATGCAACGCTCTGCGGAAGATTTTATGGGTCCTTCAAGGCGCAGATGTACGCAAATGGAATTCTACCATGTAAAAATAAAATGAAGAGTTATTTACGACTGGCGTGGGATAAATGCCATTGCGGTAGGAGAGTAGCTTCTACTCGTAGAGGTGTCGCGCCAATTTTACGACACGGATTCCAGCGGTCGTAGTGTGTACCCTACTTCTTTGCAAAGTATTTTCACTGACATTGGACTGAATCCTAGGTTCAATCTAGAAAAAAAAACCGCGGATGCTTTTATTTGTGCGCTCCTTTCTCCGTGAGCAACATTTTATCGCGACGCACCGAAACAGTGCGAAATTTCGTTACAATATAAAAAGAGACACATAAATTTTGTATCAGTAACAAAATTATTGTATACGTTGGGGTTATCAGTTAAAAGTTAAAATATGCGTTTTCATCAATTTAAAAGTAAAATCAATGTATTATGAGTGCACAACGTCGATATACACGCGACCGATATAGTTTGGACCAACATGTAACAGCCGCAATGGAGTCGAAAAAGAGCGAGCGGTCTGGCGTGATTGAATGTCACGACATCGTTACTGACCGCTAGAACCGAAATCCTCTACGGACGGTCCGTTCAATATTTGATGGCGAAATCCGATAGATTACGAATCCTCCTTCGTTTCGCTCGGTCACGCTGCTTTCGGAGAGGCTTAAACGGATCAAGGAGGCGGGCGCGAGGCCGAACGGATGTAGATAAAAATTGCGAAGGTCCATAGAAAGTCCTCGGCTGTCAAGGAAGTAACGCAAATCATTTCCGCCACGGCGCATTTAGATGCCGACGCCGCGACGTTAGGTACACTCTATTTTTCATCGCCGAGATAAAATGTGAAAAGGTTTCGTTATTTACGCCATTCGTGCAATACTAATATCGCGCGTTAAATTTGTACGCGCGCGAATAAATGACGTTAATTAAACAGATAAAAATTACAAGACCCACGCGCAGCCCGCGTTGTTTAATTCCGCCGGGCCATTGAGCCGAATTAAAGTCGCATAAAATTAAAATAACAGCTCCATTAAGGAAAAAGCGGTGTCACTCGGGAATAATAAACGTTTCTGCAACTCCATTCAACTCGACTACGACGCCGCTACCTTGTAATTGCTAGTGAGCGAAAGTTCGTTGAAGATTTCATATCCATTTCGTGTATATACGCTAATGTAGAATTTCCTTTCGTTATATAATATGACGTCACGATGCTAACTTTGTTCCGATAAATATAAGCGTAAACTGCATAATCCTTGACAATAAGATTAAGCAGTTGCTAATTTCAGCTTTTGTTCTGTGTGCACGCGAGAGTACGAGGCGATGTTTTCACGAGGATGAGAAACAGTCGGAGAGTTCCCGATGACTTACTTGAAGCCGAGAAACAATTTGATAGTTGCGGCAAATACTTTTCTTGCTTCTTCTTTTTTTCCAATGTAAATGTTGTTTCAATTTCTCTTAATCCATCACGAGTTTGGATTTTGATTTCATGCACGTGTTTTCACTTGTACAAATAATTTTGGCAGATCGATCACTAATATTATTTCCTCTTCGCCAGCTTACTAGATTAACAATGTAAATCCTACATATTCCAGATTTTTTCATAATTTTTGACAAACGAGATGATTTCGTTCGCCTAAAGCATCGGTTCAGTCGAAAACCAACATTTCTTCGCAACTGTTTCAACACACTTTGGGAAATAAGCTTTTTCTCGAAACAGCAAAGTTTCTTCTCTGTTCTGCTTGTATGTACTGTCCTATATTTTTGCAAATTTCAAGCACGATATTCAAGCCGTTCAGAATATATTCAAGTTAGCCAGGGATTTATTTGCGAAAGCGTATATCCGAATATTGAAGCAACTTCGCGCGCTATCATCTGTTCTCATTCCTATCGGATTCTACATGAAAAAGACTAATGGGTTATTTTTGAATCATTGCATAGCGTAAACTACATATCTAACCCGATAGCTATCGATGCCTGATAATTATCGCCTGGCCAATAATTATTTTTGCCTACAACGGAGCTCTGCTTTATACCGTTTGTTTGTTTTATCTCTTCTTCCCTAACAACGAAGGAGGCTTACGTTGTCTTACCCGTCACTCAAGGTGGCGAGTGCCTCGAGGGATATTGAACATTCCTCTCCGAAAGAAAATTCCTTTTATTGATTTCGTTAGCTGAATTTTTGGTCCGCAAAAATATGAAGAATAATTGCCGATATCCAACCACGAACGCAAGAAATACATGAAAAAAAACACGCGTACGTTATACCTTTTGTTGTTTATACGAGGGAGAGAGAAAATCATAAAATATCCAAAAGAGATAAGAAACAGCGTTGCGATTTCCTTCATCTGGCTTAAAAGAAGAATTACATATTTTTATATTTCATACCTACGCTTTCTCTGTTTGCCGTCACGCTGAAATGAGCGAGCGAAACCTTTTGCAACTCTCCAAAAAGCGGCGAAACAAGATACAAAAGAATAAAGAGAGTGGTTGCTTGCGAGATCTGTTTTAAATAATCTTACACGCGAATGACGTATCAAATTAAATTACACGATGATATTGAAATATTAGATATACTTTGTACCAATTAAGGAACGAGAGGAACTGTAGTTTCATGAAAATACGCGTCAGTGATTTCACATAGGAACGCTAGGTATCTTAATTTCCTCGTTTCACTTTGACTGTAAAAGTTCCAATACCTATAATTTGATTCGCAGAAACACATGTTACAACATACGTAATATTACTAAGTGGCTTAAATGTTAAAGGACTCGTATCCATATGTCATCGTGCATATCACTATAATACTTGTGACACGTAATTGAATGTAACGTTGATGAAACCGTATTTTATTGAAAACAACTTAATACGACTGCGTCGTGCAAATAGCTTTATTTCCTGTAGAAATAATTACACGTGAGTGAGTCCCGCAAAGCCGTAACATCTCGACCAAGCGAACGCGTAAACGAAGGACTGAGATTACACAAAATAAAACACATAATTATATGTCGTTCCTATATTGCACAAAAGTCTTTATTACGCAGTTGAGCCAAATTTGAAAAACTGAACTTACTAAGATGAATACACGCGAGAGATCCTCGTGGTGGAAGGTTGTAAAAAACTCGCGGCAATTTGATTTTCCGCATGCGCTCTCATGGTCTCTCCGAGGCGTCGCAATTTTTTTTCCACGAGTTTATAGACCGGATTCACACCGTGACGCGACGTTTCTTTGAGAATTCTGATGAGATGGCACGCGCACAATGGAGCGCCAGCTTCAAATTCACGTTAAATGAAGCAGAAGACCCGGTCGACCCGCGACGAGAGGCTACCATGGGCTCGATCGCACAAATGCGACGATCTCTCGTGCCGGATCTTTCATGGTCCGTTGGGCATGCCTCGTGCAAGCATCAATCATTGGTTCGCTGAAAAAGTCGTGTCGCGAGTAGGTTTGATTACGTTATGCATTTTTAATGAATAAACCGAGCAACGCCTCGGAAAACTCCGTCCTCTGTCACTCGAATCCTCCTAAATTTTCTCTTAATCCCCTTACCCTTCAAGTGCAAGACGATCTTGATAATCTTGATCAATATTTATAAAACGCTCTTCATGGAACCGTTCATCCTTGACTCTGAATAAGGCTCGAGATTACCACGTTCTATACCGGGTTTTATATTGTAATACGCATTCACGGCTTCACGTCGGATTTCTTTTGTTATCGGCACGTGCCGAAGATTCCGATATCTCTTATCGCAACGTTTACGGCAGAATATTGGTAACAAAGGACGAAATAATAATAATAATACCTCGAATAATGGCGCGGCGAAATTCCCTTTATCATAATTTACCATATCTGCTTCACTGTCTTACTTTATCAGCCCGATCGTACGGTGTTCCCAGGATATATTTCCTCCAGTTATGCTTCAAACACTAAATTTTTATATTGTGAACGTGAAAAAATATTAATACTACGCAGATAAATCAATTTATTTGGTCGTTTTAAAAACAACGCGAGAGTATCGTCAAGTATCGTCTTTCTATATTTTTTTAAATGTCTGATTCAATTATATATCTCCTCACGTGCGACACATGTGTTCCATATTTTTGTGCGATGAATGGCCCTTGTAAGCGTGTTAAAAACTGTAGTGTGTCAAAAATCGCGTTAAAAGAACCATGCAGCATGAAAAATATTGAAACTCGAAACATTTTCGCTCGCGTGTACGGATGACAT